ACTACTCCATCACTCACTCATCACTACTCCATCACTCACTCATCACTCCTCCATCATCACTCCATCACTCACTCCATCACTCTTTCCACCATCACTCCATCACTCTTTCCACCATCACTCCACCATCACTCTTTCCACCATCACTCCTCCATCACTCATCACTCCTCACTCACTCACTCACTCACTCACTCACTCACTCACTCACTCACTCACTCACTCACTCCTCCATCACTCCACCATCACTCACTCGTTCATTAAATCGGTTCTTACGACTCACTTTGTGTCGAACTCGATCAGGTTGGTGTCGATGGGGGGGTCGGACTCTGGCACAGCTGGAACACAAATACACATTCAGGTTTCTATGGAAACAGACTCCGCCTCCACAGAGCGTGAAGGTGTTCTCACCTGACTGGGGGCGGGACGCGGGCGGCTCCACAGGTTTAGGATGCATCAGGATGAAGGGCAGTTCCACAGAAACGTCTCTGAGAAGAAGAACGGGTTGATTGAAGTTTGGTAAAGGTCAAAGGTCGTGACCCGCCTCACAACTACAGCTGGTAGGTTAATCTGATGGCCTTTGACCTTAGTGTTTGACCAGCACGTGAAAGCAGATTTATGAACAACCATCTACATTTAACTAGTTTGAAATCAGTTTAAACTGAGCAGTGATGAGAACTACAAGGCCACTTATCAAAACAACATTTCCCAGAATTCCTACCGACTTACAGCCCACATTTAGAAACGGTTAAAAAACTCCCTGGTGTCGTTGCCATGGATACGACCCGTTTAAATATAATTTCAGCTCTGAACAATGATGATGGAAGAATCACGTAAAGGTTTCATCAAACACCACTGAAAAGAGCAGAGAGACAGGAAGTGACATCAGCTGAGCAGGAAGTGAGTCTTACCCGCCGCGTGAGACCACGAGCTTGACTTTGACTCTGTAGGACACCAGGATACCCAGAACCTCCTTGTTGGTGACGTCCTTCACTCTGAAACGCACACAGAGACACCTGGGGTCACGTGACTGCACACCTGAGTGAACCAGGTGGCCCTGGGGTCATGTGACTCACATGGTGGACGAGGCCAGGTTGGTGTCTTCGTGTTTGAGTTTCCCGTCCAGAGCGAGTCCTCTCTTCTCTCTGTTCTTGTCCAGCGTCGGGGTCAGAGTGTACACCTTACAGAAGGTGGAGCTGGAGGACACCTGGTCGCTATGGAGACGACACGCTGCTGTCAGGTAAACCTCTACAGACCGACCTCACACTGGTTTATACTGAAACACTGGAGACCTTTAAACCAGTTTGACCTTTGACAAAAGTCAGCTCATCTCCAGTTTACACTGCCGTCTAAACAAGTCTGAACCAATTTACGCTTAAACCAGTTTGAACCAGTTTACACTACTGTTTACACCAGTCTGAACCAGTTTATATGTAAACCAGTCTCAACCAGTTTGAACAAGTTTACTAAACCAGTCTCAATCAGTTCATACTTAAACCAGTTTGAACTAGTTTACACTGCTGTTTAAAGCAGTCTCAACCAGTTTACACTAAAAACCAGTTTGAACCAGTTTAGACTGCCGTTTTAAACACATTTGAACTACTTTACTAAACCAGTTAGAATCAGCTTACTAAAAGAGTTGGGACCAGTTTAGTAAACCAGTTTCACTTCTGTACAAACCAGTTTACTAAAATAGAACCGGTTTACACTCATTTGAAACGGTTAACTAAACCAGTTTAAACCAGTTTACAGCAGTCCCTTGTTTATCGCTGGTGTCTGATTGGAGGGTTTCAGCTGGGATCACTGGTGTGAGTGCTGGGATCACTGGTGTGAGAGCTGGGATCACTGGTGTGAGAGCTGGGATCACTGGTCTGAGAGCTGGGATCACTGGTCTGAGAGCTGGGATCACTGGTGTGAAAGCAGAGCAGACGACTTCAGGCATGAGGCGTCAGACGAGAGCAGCAAACAACAACAACAACAACAACAACAACAACAACAACAACAACAACAACAACAGGTTTAAAGTTATTTAAAAGAAATGATTGTAAAGTCTGCTGGGGGCTGGGGCCCAACTGTCCAGTCCGAGCGGGAGGACATTTCCCGGTGGCCTGGCCGTTCACCGAGGGGGACTGAACGCTCGGTTCTGGTCGTGCTTGATTATTTAAATTAAAGCTGCTCATGCCGCACGGGTCGTTTATTTAAACAGTATTTACATTTAAATTGTTTATTTACACAGAAGGAGGGAGACTGGAGTGAGAAGTGGGCGGGGCAGAGCGGAGACCATGACCACATTGCTGCAGGAGGAGCTTGTCTCTGCACCTGTGGGCTGCACACAGGTGCTAAACCACTTTAAACAATTTATTTGAAACAATTTATTTTAAATAAACAATCAATGCTTTTCGTGCGGCTCATCCATCAATCAATGTGCGTCATGTCCAGTCTTATTTTGAAAAACCACGAAAGAGCGAGTCCACGACAGTCGAACCACGAAGTAACGAGGGACTACTGCTTTTAAACTTGTTTGAACGTTTACACTTTAAACAAGTTTGATCCAGTTTAAAATGCCGTTTAAACCATTAGAACCAGTTTGCTAAACCAGTTATAATTGCTTTAAACTTCTGCTTAAACCAGTTTGAACCCATTTACAGTTACACTAAGTTACACTTCCATCATAAAAACACAACTGGTTTAAACAACCAAAAGCTCATCACCAGTTTGACCGGTTCACACTGGCTTTAAAACCAGTTTCAGATTAGAATTAATTTAAAACCAATGTAAACCTGTTGAACCAATTCAGATTTATTTGAACAAGTAATTTTGTTCATCTCTAGTTTAACTCCACTTTGAACCAGTTCAAGATAATAAACCAGATTACGTTCACTTGAAGCTGGTGTCAAACTGGTCTGAAGTCCTTGGCCTCATTTGTCTCCTTGTTTAAAACAGATGAAACCCGATTCAGTTCACTTTGGTTTAACTTGTTGGAACCATTTCTAAACTGGTGCACAGGTGATGTAAACTGGTGAAACCAGTTTGGGATCAGTGGGACTTACTCTGCCTCCAGCTGGGCCACTGGACATTTGTACTGGGCGGTGCTGAAGAGACAGATGTCGGCGTACTGACGCACTGAAAGGAGAGGGAGCTCGTTAACAACCGGAGAACGTCTGAACGGTTCCAGGGTCCGGACCAGACGTACCCGAGATCTTGACTCTCTTCACCGTCTTCGTGGAGTTGTTGGTGACGTGAACGTTCACACTGATGGGCTCTCCGTGGTAATACAGCTGCACAGGTGCATGATGGGAAACGGAGTTCAGAGTCAGACAGACTTCACCTGAGCTGCTTTACATTTACCAGAGTGTGTGTCTCTGTGTGTGTGTGTCTCTGTGTGTGTCAGTGTGTGTGTGAGTGTGTCTGTGTCTCAGTGTGTGTGTGAGTGTGTCTGTGT